AACACATAACATATTTTACCCTGAAAATAATAACCTTTAACTAATTAATAAACCACAAAGGGGAAACCTTTGCGACCCATAGCAGTTAACCAGTATCTTAACTATCAAGAGACATCTCAAGGGGACGCCTTTGGGATATAATCATTTACATAGAACCTAGGGACCCTTTTATCTGAAAAGATAAAAGTTATATTTTTGACTGTAAGTCAGCAAGTAGGCTGTGTGTCATATATATATAAATAGTGGAAATTGACTGTAAATCAGCAAGTAGGCTGTGTGTCAAACAATAGAATCGACCGTAAGTCAGCGAGGAGGCTGTGTGTTGAGCTATAAATAACCTATTAAATAGGAAACTCAGATTGCACGCTCGCAATATGTTTTCAGTATTTGTCAGATTTGTAATGTATTTCACAAAATCCTATGGACATCACATATTGAAAATTTATGTGACCTGTCTTCTTACTTTACATGAAAATAGACATTGGGTGAGCAATAGGTTTTGTCTGATTCTGGCTGAGGGAACCCTTTGGAACATGGTTCTCCATTTGATGGTTACAATGGTGTAATCTGATACTTCATGACCAAATTATACAATGTTTTTCTATGATGGAATGTCTGCATGGATTGCATTAAGTGAGATGTTTCTTTTTTCCATGTAGGTAAAGCTGTGCATCATTCCATGGTTTTGAAAATTGTCATGTTTGAAGAAATGTTCTAATTCATCATCCACAACTTGTTCTAGCATATTTCAGTAGTGTAGATAGATGTGCAATGGATGATTGCTTAGTATCGTGTTTCCATTTTATGCAAGTGGATCCATTTGTCTTTGGCCATCATCAAGGTGCAGAAAATCCAAGGAAGGCTTTGAAAAGGGAGGCACTGTTATCAAATTTGAAGGTAGGGCTGTGACTTTTGACTTGTCCAAGATTTCACGGTTGGAATAACAATCAAGTCAGTTTGGGTTGGACGTTTCTCACAGTTCACATTTCTGGAGCATAGTGGAAGTTTGTTGTTACACGAAATGTTGTACAGAACTCATTGCTTTTGAAACTTCGCCAGTGTATAGTTGTTACCTCTCTAAATTGGAGATCAAGTTCGGATCAAATTCAAATCCAGTTTATCACTTACTTTTTATTGCCAGAAGGTTTGCCGTGTATTGTAAAGCTACGTTGCACAATATAAAAAATTAGTGTAACATTTCAAATTTCCACTATGCTCATTTCTGGTAGCCAGTATCTGGTTCTAATTTTGAAAATTTCTTCTTTTCTCAAGCATCAATGTGGTTAGTACCAACACAAGCAGAACCTAGCTATCTATTGAAGGTATTACTTTTTAATGTACTCATAGTGTCCCTTTCCATTGGACAATTAGTCTACTATAGTTTGTGTCTGTTGTGTATTTTTGGAAAAAAGAATCATTTGGGTCAACCAAATCTGGAGGATGGGGAATCTCTTCTAGAAGTTGAATGCAATGATAGTTCAACAGGCAAGTTGAAATGATTAGATGTGGGCTTTTTATTTAATAATTTAGGTATAATTTTTATTATATTTAAATTATTCAGATACATTATTAAATTAAAATTTTTATATTAATAAATTATTTATTATATTATATATATTATATGATATATTGATAGTACATCACTTCAACTTGTTAATGCTATAAGAGATGAAAATATTGATTTGAAAAGGTAAAAAAATAAATAATACTGCAATTATGTATGATTATTAAAAATTATATTTATTTTTTTATCAAAAAAATTATTTGTGCATATTTGACATCCAAATTTCAAAATGAAAAGAAAACTCAAAAGATATGATAATTGTGAAAGTTATTACCTTTATATAATATCATTATTAAATATAAATAATCAAATTAATCTAAATATTTATATCCATTAGATGTGAAACTATAATTTATAACATCATAATGTTAATATTGATACTAAATTTTAAAATTAATAATTGAATGATTAATGATAATTACCATTATTATTGCTAATAATTGTTACTTTATTGGAATTCACAGGTTGGGGAAGGTTTGTAAAATTTAATAATCTGCTAGTATAAATTGCATTTGGATGAATTGTTGTAGTAATTGTTGAAGGATCAAATTTTATTTCATCCATTTCATAGAACTCTTTTCTAATCAATTCTGATTCATGACCATGCCCAAAATACTGAAGTGCATTATTCCAATCATTAATAATCTCAAAAGTCTCTTTAGCAGTTGGATGTTTATCTGGATTAGCATCCATGCATTTGAATGCTAGCTCAATATAGGTTTTTGGTGTATTGTTTGAGAATCCAGGTCTTGCACCTTTACATATATTCATTGCAAGATATTCATCATGTGCCAAATTATTAAATGGTTGTTGACCAGTTGATACTGCAGACATCAGAACTCCAAAACTGTATATATCTGATGCCATTGTATATAATTTCCCATTTAAAACTTCTGGTGCAATATATGGTAGTACTCCACATATATCATTTTTGTCTGATGATGATGTTTGACTAGCTGGGAATGATAATCCTAAGTCTGCAATCCATGAGTCATAATTACTTTGAAGAATATTACCACTATGAAGATCATGATGAATAATTTCTTTTTCATGAATAGCCTTTAAACCTTTAATAATATATGAAAGAATTTCAATTTTGATTTCCCATTTTAAATTTTTAAAATCTTTAGTTAAATAATTTTGAAGATTTCCATCTTCCATATATCTCATTACAAATATATATTCTTTTGTAATTGGATCCTGTGTTAATCCATAAATATGAATTATATTACCTTTATCATGAAACTTCATATAATTTTTGAACTAAAACAACAAATGAAATATTAATTAAAACATAATAATCAATAATATTTAAAAAATCTGAAAATAAATAGAAAACCAAAATAATTTACCTCATTAAGAAATTCATCAGAAATATTTTGTGAATTATGTAGTTTTTTTAATGCCACAGTCATATCTTCACTAGTTCTTTTACAATCTTCATTTATATATTTACTACCATTTAACCAATTAGCTTTGGATATAGTTGCAAACCCACCTTCACCTATCTTTTCAATATTTGTTAAATCATTATAAGGAATCCATTGAAGATGATAATAATTATCATACTTAGTTGCTTTAAGTTGTGTACTTTTAATCAACTTATCTAATGTTTCATTGCCACTAGTCCATCCTTCAGTTAATAAATTTGGATCACATGATTGACACCATGAATAATAAGTATTATATCTATTGCATGTTGGACATTCCCCATACCTTTTATTTCTTTTATATGGACCTTCATAATCTTGAATACTTCCATCTTCCATGTATTCCATTACAAATATATATTCTTTTGTAGCTGGATCTTGTGTTAATCCATAAATTTTATTTATAAATGATTCATTATAAAATGTGACATAATTTCTAAACTATATAAAAAAAATATATTGATTTTCAGAATAATATTTAAAAAATTAGAAAATAAATAGAAAATAAAATAATCTACCTCATTAAGAAATTCATCAGAAATATTCTGTGAATTATGTATTTTTTTTAGTGCCACAGGCATATCCTTGCTAATTATTTCATTGTTATAATATTATTGATTATTATAATAAATTAATTCACGTTATTTATTTTTCATTTTTTCATTTTACTACCTTTGACTGTTTTTTTCTCCATTCTTTCCTTCATTTTTTCTTCCTGTTAATATCAATCCTTTCCATTTAGATTATTAATTGTAAAACAATGGGAGCAAAACCTTCAGCACCAGAAAAACAAAAAAATAAAGAAAAAGCAAGCACAAATTCAAATCAGCAATTTTCATCAGAAGTAATGACATCTTATAATGGAAATCGTGAATTTATAGTTTCCACAGAAGAAATCACTAATATTCTTCCGGTTAATGATGATGAATTTGCAAGAAAAACCACAGTTCATTTCTTGCACAAAAAAATTTGGGATGAAACTAATTTTTCAGCACCAATTACAAGACAATTGAAGGAGGAGTATGGTTTTAATGTGCTGGATGTTGGGTAAGTTTAAATAAAAATATTAATATTTTTATGTAATTGTTTAATCAATTATTGTGTTGTTTTTTTATTTTTTATTTCAAAGTTGTGGGAATGGCACATAGACATTGACAACATACCCAAATGCTAATTTTTTAGGCATTGATATTTATCAAACATTTCCAAATGAAATTAGACCTAATAATGTAAATTTTTTACTGGGAAATATAATCACTGGATTAAATATTGAATCAAACACATTTGATTATGTGTTTATGAGATATATGAAATCTTCTATACCAATAAATGATTGGTCAATGTTGGACATTCCCCATACCTTTTATTTCTTTTATATGGACCTTCATAATCTTGAATACTTCCATCTTCCATGTATTCCATTACAAATATATATTCTTTTGTAGCTGGATCTTGTGTTAATCCATAAATTTTATTTATAAATGATTCATTATAAAATGTGACATAATTTCTAAACTATATAAAAAAAATATATTGATTTTCAGAATAATATTTAAAAAATTAGAAAATAAATAGAAAATAAAATAATCTACCTCATTAAGAAATTCATCAGAAATATTCTGTGAATTATGTATTTTTTTTAGTGCCACAGGCATATCCTTGCTAATTATTTCATTGTTATAATAATAATTTATACTTTTATAACCATTTAACCAAGTAGCTTTGGATATAGTTGAAAACCCACCTTCACCTATCTTTTCAATATTTGTTAAATCATTATAAGGAATCCATTGAAGATGATAATAATTATCATACTTAGTTGCTTTAAGTTGTGTACTTTTAATCAACTCATCTAATGTTTCATTGCCACTAGTCCATCCTTCAGTTAATAGTTTTGGATCACATGATTGACACCATGAATAATTGGTATTATATCTGTTGCATGTTGGACATTTCCCATACATTGCATATCTTTTCTTTGAATATTCATCATTTTTATCAGTAAGGTATCATTATGATGTTTATTTTCACCCAAAGTGTTTTCCATTGTGGTTTTTTATTATATTTGTATAATTTGTACAATTTGTCAAAAAAAAATTTTTTCTAAAGAACTTTTTTTTTCAGCCACAAAATATGTATCACACAAAATATATTAATATATCAAAACCTGAATTACTCTCATAAATAAATTCGACATGCACCCCAAAGTCGTTAAAGACATAAACCGTAATAAATATTGCAAGTCTGTAAATGGCAAAATCACTAACAATCACACTGTTTGAATAGGGTTTCTATTCGAATAAGGTTTATTCGAATTATTTGTTTTACACGTTATGAATTTTGAGTTTTGAATTAAATTGGAAGTTTATTCGAATAAAATGAATAACGAATAATTTGATAATTCAAGTAGATAATTCAAATAAAAAATTGAATAAAACGAATAAACGAATAAATGAGTAGTTCGAATAGTTCAAATAAAACAAGTAATTCGAAATAAAACAAACGAATAAACTAAAACGAATAATTCGAAATAAAATAATTTGAAATAAACAAAATAATTTGAATAAAATAAAAACGAATAATTTGAATAAAACGAATAAACGAAATAATTCGAATGACTATAATTCCAATGATAGCAATTTGAATAATAAACGAATGATAACAATTTGAATAATAAACGAATGATACAATTCGAATAATAAATGAATGATAATAATTTGAATAATAAACGAAATGATAACAATTTGAATAATAAATGAACGATGATAACAATTCAAATAATAAAAGAATGATAACAATACGAATAATAAACGAACGATAGCAATACGAATAATAAACGAACGATAGCAATTCGAATAATAAATGAATGATGATAATTCGAATAATAAATGAATGATAACAATTAACGAATGATAACAATTCAAATAAACGAATGATAACAATTCAAATAAACGAATGAAAACAATTCGAATAAATGAGATGATAATTCGAATAATAAACGAATGATAACAATTTGAATAATAAACGAATGATACAATTCAAATAATAAACGAATGATGGTAATTCAAATAAACGAATGATAACAATTCGAATAATAAACGAATGATAATAATTCAAACAAAACGAATGATTGAATAATTCAAACAAAAATTTGTATTATGGATAGAAACTTTACTATATTGCAGAGTCATCAAATCTAGCACAATAATGTTTAAACTAAACTAAAATCACCATATACAACTACAATACTTGAGGCGTCCCTACAAGCAATATAGTAAAACCAATAAAAGGGGTTCCTAACTAATAATTAAATGTTGGCCAAACCATTAATCATCAGAAAGGGTTATGAATCAATTAATGAAAGTGTCATTATTGAAAAATCAATTGTTTTTAAATTTTTTTTTCACTGAAGGAGATTTCAAGCATATTTATACTTCTTGAAGTATTACAAATAACATAACTTTTTACATGATTTTGTCCAATAAAATAAAATAAATGAATGATAACTAATTGACAATTACTAAATTAAATGTCAAAAATGTGTCATTGATGATTAAATGATACCTGATGAAATGTTTTTTGTCATAATTAATTAAAAATAAAATTATATTCATTGAAGTGTCAGATGGTAATCAGCTTCAATTTGTAAATGTTAACTCAAGTGTTGAGAATAATTTGTCTTCCTTGAAATATTATTAAAAGAAAAATATGGCAATGTGGCTCTGGACACATTTGTATTGTACCAATTCCATTCAATTCATTAATGTCATAGAAAACTTTGATGAACTTTCTTTGAAGTCAACGCAGCTTTAATAGGGAAGGCTTCTGTTTTTTGCAGGAAAATCAAATAATTAGCTGAATAAATCCCGAACTAGAATAAATATGCTATTGATCCAGAATTAAAAGGGCACAACAATCATGATTGTTATATTGTAGTTCTACTCTAAACCTAGAAACATTATCATCAAATCCATCATCTTTAAATACTGTTAGTTCTCAAACCCATACTAAAAAATAAATAATTTATGAGAAGGAAGTAAAAAAAGGAGTATTGCTTGAAAGTATTTCTTTAAATGAAACCTCATCAGAAGCTCAAGATGTTCAAAATCTTAATGATGAATCTAACTCATTACAGTAAGGATTACTTGTCATCACCACTCCTCTCATCACTTTCAATGTCAATTTTCTTGTTTAGCAAGTGCATCAGTTTCACAGATCTTAGATGGTACTCAGAGGATGCAGAAGAGAAGTTGTGGAATATCTGTTACTAGGTACTGGAGTAAAGTATCATCCTCATCATGATATGTTTTCATTATTTGTCAGATTTGTAATGTATTTTACTCTGGGTTCAGCCCATTCTAGCCATAAGCCTTGCATTCTCTTGTCTCAATAAATCTAATTCGTGTTGCATGTTCAATAATAACTTTTTATATAATAATAAGGCATAGATTTATTCCAATTCCGAATTAATGCATGGAGTACACCTTTTACAAAATATAAAAAATCACATGTGCACTCTTTTTTGGAATGCCAATCATTTTTGCAAGAAAAAATTTGAAATCATTCACCCATCATGCACACATTGCAAAATCCAGGATGCAAAAATATGGGATATCAAATGATGGAATCTTCAAATGTATATCAATCACATTGAGAATCAGGAATTTTTTTTTTTTGACATGGATTTATGTAATTATTACACTATTTACATAAGTTTATGGTGGACCCTGTAATATTATGCAATTATTACATTCAGTGTAAAAGTTACATAATTTTTTATGCAAATATTACAACTTTGCATATTAAAATTTATGGACATAATATTACAGTGGGGAAAATTTCCTGGTGAGTACAGAGCAATCAAAGTCACAAAGAAGTTTAAAGCAACCAAACTGTTGACAGATGGGTTTAAACTGATGAAGTTTATGCACAATTCCTGAGTGAGTGAGCTCATTTCAATAAAATGAAAGTCAGCTACAAGTTGCTGGAATGTTTCACATAGGTAAGTAAATAATGAATCTGCATTTTTTTTTCCAAAGTAAACTGATTTAATTTGAGTTAAGTCTCAAGTTTTACAAATGTGTTGTCCCAAAAGGTATGTGACAGTATTGAGCTGAGAGAAGCTTCTTGAGGTGCCAGTTGTAGTCAAAAAAATCAAAGATCTTATCAGGGTGTCGGCTAGTGTGTGGAAGATGAAGGCATGTTTTATCCTCATTTGTTTTAAGTTTCATCAGTGAATGCATTATTTTCTCATTACCTTCATTTGCAAATAGAAATAATTGTGGATTGCATAAAGAAGGTGTGGTCACAGGAGTGCATTTAGAGGGTAGTTTTATATGAATGGGTCCAGGAAAAGACCATACAGTGCAGAACATAGAGGGAGTGCATTTATGGAGGAGGTGCACTTATGGATGGTTGACTGTAGTCAATAAATCACAGTTAAAATGATTGCAGAAATTTCAAATAACATAGTAAAGTTACCCAACTTTAAACCATTATAACTTTTTTTTTTTACTAAATAACTCAAAAAACAAAACTTTCTATTACATTATTTTTCATGTCTAGAAGATTGCAAAAATAGAGAGGTTTTGGTAAAATAGCCCATATTTAATAAATTATCAGAATTTAAAGATTGCAACGTTTTGTGACGACTACCACTATAATACAAATGCTCACTTTTTCTGGTTTTGTTGCAGCATGCTCCATACAATATTTAACTATTAACCATTTTGTAATGCTTTTGTCCAATCCCATTTGTCCCAAGGTTTCTTGAATTCCTGTGCTCGTTTATAATTATCCTTTGTATCAAGTTTCTTAGGTCTTCTCCAAACTTCTGGAGATAAATCACAAATACCCGCAATAATTTCCTAATTTTTTTAAAATGTTTATAATAAATAAAATAAAAATTTTTTAATGAAAAAAAAAATAAATGAAATTTTAACAACGAACCTTTCCAAACCATTTAGGAAAATTTTCACTTTTTTCAATTATATGACCATATCCACCATCCAGACCAAACCATACATGAAAATATGGCAATTCTTTAACCATTGAATGTCGAAATCCTCTTTTTGAGGTATCAATGATTTTTTTATTTTGTGACCATTCACTTCCACTTGCTATAATACTTTGCTTGAAGTAAGCCGGTGCATCTTCTGACATATCCCATGGTAGTGGTATACATTCTATCACTGTATGATTATGATATTTAAGATTGATCACTGTCTCCATAAATATTACTCCACGGTCTTCTTCTGCAAACATCTTCATTAAACATTTCATAAAATTCTGCACAAATATATAAATATAAATATTAGTATTAATATTAATTTAATAACACACATATATAATATTTACTCTAATTTCATCCCATGAATCATCATCACATTCCAATGTGGAAGTGACATGCTGAGTTGGTACAATTAAACAATGTCCTTTAGTCATCTCTGTTACATTTGGTAATGCAAGATATGCTCTATAACCTATTGCAACAATGGCAAATGGTGATGATTTAACCTTGTCTTTCACACAATAAATACATTTTTCTTCAGCTTCCTTTGATTTCAAGAAGTCTAAATTGAGGATAAATTTAAAATATATTTTTATCAAAAATAAGAATATAACAACAAATAGCAATCATTAATTACCATTGACAATAAATGTCCGACTTTGTTGACCAGTTTTTTCTTGAAATTTTGCTATATCGTCAGCATTTTCATCCATATATTCTAAATTATCCTACAAAGAATTTAAAATTAATTGATAATAAAAATAATAAATAATGACAATAAATATAAATAATAATGATAACAATACCTCATATTTTGAATCATTCCCTATTCTAGTCACTATTTGTTTAGCAATAGCAGATCTGGTCTCATGCCTTTCTTGACGTACCATCTCTAGTTACATGTAAATTATTTTATTTAAAAAACTATGACAATTATAATAATACTAAAACGCAATAATAAGATTCTTTGTTACCATTAATATCAAATGTTAGAGCTCGTTCTACACTTTTTCCTTGCTTTTTTGAAATACTTTCAACTTTTTTATCCGAATCTTCTGAATCACCCTACAAATTTATATAATATTATATATATATGTATATGCATTATAACAATAAATAATTAAATTATTTTTTGAAAATAGTACCTTTAAAAATAATTCTCTTCTCATACTTTTTGCAAATTGTTTATTTGTGCTAGTACTAGAAACTGGGTTTTCTTGATGCAATAGATCTAAATAATTCATAAATAAACGATGATAAATAAAAGGATACTATATAGGAATATTATAACAATTAAATCATACCATTTACTTCAGATTTATTATTTTGTTGCACAGTTTTCTCATCCGAATTATCCTACATGAAATTATACATATAATTTATAACATATGTTATAATTGAAGTCCATTACACAATCGAAATAATACCTGTAAAAATAATTCCCTTCTCATTCTTTTAGCCATCTGTTTATTCATAGAAGATCTAGAATCCGATTTTTCTTTATACGGCAAATACAATAAGTTAATAGCATGCTTCAACATGAATTCTATTATACATAAAGTAGATAAACTAGAAACTACCATTATCTTCGGATCTAATTTGCTGATCTGTATTTTCTTGTTTTTCAACTGAAATGTCAACTTTCTCATCCAAATGTTCTAAATCATCCTGAAATTAACGATATATATATATATTATACGTTAAAGTTTTATTTCATTTATCGATAACAAGTAATAGTACCTCAAAATCTGCATCTTCCGTTTTTCTTTTTGTCAATTTATCCATATTATTATAATAATAATAATAAGTGAAATAAATAAATCATAGAATAAATTGATGTTACATGAGCGTTTTAGCGATTTGATAATAAAATTACCATGGTAAATTAAATTAAATGGCAAAAAAAATAAAAAACAAATATAAGTAGATATTAAAATTATACATGTTTTATTCTCCAAAAAATTAGGATTTATTAATAGGCTTAGCAATTTATTTGGGCATCATATGTTTCTTTGTTTTTGTCCTATTATTAGGACCGTCTTCAAGATTCAGGTGAATAATAATAATAATACTATAATTATCAATGTGTGTATATATATATATATATACACGCATAAATAGATCTGAATTATTGTCAACTTTTCAGAAATGGTCCAATTGGAAAATTATATAATTTTCTAACAGTAACATTAATTGAATGGATATGGTAATTATTTTTACAATGGTTTTCTTTCTCATAATATGACTTGAATTAACATATCTTCTTTTTTAATTTAAGGATTTTAACAAGAAAAACTTGTGGGAATAGCATGCCAAGAATCTTTGATTATGCTTATAATTATTGTGCAGAGGAAAAAAATCCAACTTTACAAGTAATCTCATGATGATTTAATATTGAAAAATGAAAGTGCGAGTATTTATTTGATTAATACTAATTGTAATATCATTGATCATTATTTAGCTCTTTTATTTATTTTTATTATCAGGATCCATTTGGGTATTTTATCAAGTTGGATGGGATCATATTCCTGGACCATATATTTCTAAATTACACACGTGAGCAAAAAACTATTGTTTTAATAAATGTTATTATTTATTTACGATGAATCTAATTATTTACCTTTCATATAAGTATACTTACGATTCATATTATTTACATTATTTAGATTGCTCATTCCAATAGTAATAATATTTACGTATTTAACATTTTATATAGCATGTTATAGTGATCCAGGAAAAATTACTAGAAAAAATGTTTCAAAAGCTTGTGAAATGTTTGATTATGATTTTTTACTATTCGAACCAAAAATCTGTAAAACTTGTCTAATACAAAAGTAAGAATTAATCTTATAATAATCTTAATAATAATAATAATAATAATAATAATAATAATAATAATAATAATAATAATAATAATAATAACTTTTAACAATTTTATTATTATTACTATTTATGGAAAGACCAGCAAGATCAAAACATTGTTCGTTATGTAAAATGTGTGTAGCAAAATTAGATCATCATTGTAAGTGGTGAAATCAATACAAATTACAAACAAAATATATCAAACTATATAATACTAATATTATTTTATTAGGTGCATGGATTAATAATTGTGTTGGATTAGACAATTATCGTTACTTTTTATTATTTCTTTATTCAATAATTCAGATATGCTTTTATGGCACATATATTATATTTAACATATTCTTGGGATTTGCTAAAAAAATGAATCTACAATATGCTTACACTACAAATATACAAACTGGTGTAAAAACTCCGCTTAGTATTTATCAAGGAGCTTTGGTAATAAATGATTATTGAATATAATAGAATTCATTATTTTAATATTTAATATTTTAACATTTCATTTATTATATTAAATTATTTTTTTGCTACACAGTTTTTAATTCATCAAGAAATATTGTTGGGCGCACTTGGAATCTTTGCATTGTTAGTAGGATTTGTAATAACGTTTTTTCTTTTTTATCAATTCTATTTGATTTATTGTGGTACAACTTCAAATGAAGCTTTTAAATGGGAAGATTTAGATGAAATAATTTCTAATGATGAATTATGGGTTTATGATGGAAAAACCCCTAAAAATAAACAAAACAACATGTTACCATCATCAATATCATTGTCATATAATAACGATGATGATGGGAAGACATCAATGAATAATAATAATAATTCTAAAAATAAAAAGAAAGCAAAAAGAAATAATGCCGGAAAAAATAATAACGATGACGATGATAATAATAAGAAAGAAGAAAAGTTTTTTGGAAGAAGAACTACTGCTATGTCTATTTACTGGATTCAGCCAAATATCAAGAAACGTCAAGTATCCACTGATAGTAAAAATAGTAAAAATGTAAACGGTAATAATAACAATAGTAATAATAATGGTAATGATGTAAATATACCAGATTCAATAATACCTTTAAATAGTAAAAGTGGAAGCAGTAATCAACATGGCAATGAAAAAGTAAATAATCAGGATGTTAACTATAATAATAATAGTGACAACAATAAGAGAGTTATAGGAAGACCAATAAAATCATTAAAAGAAATTAAAAATATTTATGATAAAGGACTTTTCGGAAACATTTCTGAAATCTTGTTTCCTCCTGCATTAGAATAATAATTAATTAGATAATAATATTAAATTATATGTTGTGTAGCATTTTTTATTTTTTATTTATTATTTTTTTTATTTATTATTTATTATTTATTATTTATTGTTTATTATTTATTAAAAATTTTTATTTATTCAGAATCACCACAAGAACTATATGATCCTAATAAATAATTGAACTGGCTTGTATGTTTGATGATATTACGCCAATATTATTACCAGTAATGGTAATATATAGGTCTGAATTACTAACCTTTCTTCTGTAATGTATATTGTTATAGTTGCTGCTGGTAGTGATTGTAGTAGGGCCAATTTATTTTGATCCAAATATAATAAGATTTTGTAGCTTTATATGGTAAATCCTTTGTCTGAAAAATATATGTATCATATTTGATTGGCCAATTTCAATTTCACACGTCTAAATGTTCATCAATTGATTGATAATCTTGCTTGAACTTGTCAATTTTTCATCTTCTTTCATCTAAAATTTCTTAACATCACTGTTATGCGACCAATTTATTATTAATTTCACCAGTCAATTGGTGATTTTGTAAAATATAAAATAAATATATAGTCGAACCTTCGTTGAATAGCACAAATAATTCGTTGAGACGAACGATCAACAAACTTAAAAATTTTTTTTATAAATTTAGTAAAAGTTAAAATAATTTGTCAATTAATTACTTGTTGAAAAAAACCAATATCAACACAGAGACATATAATCACACGACACGCTAAGCTGCCGACAAAAATATCAGGTATATTAATATTGTTAATATTTTTGAATCACAATTAAGATACTTGAGAATCTTTTATTATTATTAATTATAATAGTAAGTAGTATATACATATAACACACTGTTAGGACCATCAAACGCCTAACGTTATATACTTAATTGTAAATTTATTTATATTGACAATCAAATATTAAAACGATAATAATTGATTTTTAAATATCCATTTAGCGCAATCACTATTATTAAAAATCGTTATTTTTTGTAACATGAAATTTTTTTCGCTTAAATTTCAGGCATACGATCAATCTACTCTTCCTCCCTTTTGATCTATAAATCATATTGTCTCGTGGCCTGTTTCTTGAGTTTTCGTTGATTCTGGTTATGTTGCTGTTGGCTCTGATATTGTTGCTGTGGTCCAACAGACAGAGTTTGGTTATGGATTGTGCGTGACTATGTGTTGGGGATTGATGGATGTGTCGCTGGAGGAGAAGGACTCTAGTATGCAAATCAACAAATTTGTTAAATGCATAAATAAAAGTTTTAATCATCACCCATTGGGATACCGGTGCTTGTATTACAATATATTTAAAAGATTAAGTTTTATTTTGGTCTGCTGATAATAAGTTTGGCTAACAAGGAATAATGAATTGTAATTAATTTGTCCATATTAATATTGGTCAGATCAGAGAATATATGATTAAGTTTAATTAATATTTAAACAGCGAATCGTTGCTATATAGAATCACATATTGTGCCTATCTAGCTGGTAAAGGAGCGTTCATGATGATGGTAATGATTAGGGATGTCCACCGAATCTTCTTTTTCAGTAGTATCGAAACCGAAAGTGTACTTGAAAGTACTTTCGAACATTCGCAAGTTTGAAACCTAAACCAAAAGTCAAACTAGCTTAATTCTTCTCTCAATCAACTATCAAAACATTACCAAAAAATCTGTTTTTTTCTAAATTCGAACCTTTTTTTCCCAAACAACCTTTCCTTATTAATCTTGTTATTAACTGGTTTCTTTTCATTTTGGTTTTCATCATGACCATCACTTATATCATTTGTTTCATAATCATTTGTTATATTTTCACAACATCCATAATCATTGTATCTCCACAAGTTGCAGGTTAATTTTGGTATTAATACTAGCCACTTCTGTATCAAAAACTTTTTCTGAAAGCACTTTTCTATTAGATGGTGTGTAGGCAGGACTAAGTTGTCCAAAGTAACTCAATAAAATATAATATTAAAAGGTATACTACATATTACAAATGCCTCGATTAATGCTCTATTAATATTATCATTCCTTTCTTGGTTAGTATTGTGCAAACCTAATTTTCTTGTTTACTAGAAGAAATTTAATCGAGTATTTACAAATTTCTCTATTACAACCACCACATTCTTTTCCCAGATGTTTTCAAATTCCATGGATAACCTACAATAGCAACACCTTACAGAATAATGTCCTTTGCTATTTTTAACCTCACTTCCTTCACAAAGTGTATCCAAACATTTGAAAGAAGGTCGTCCAATAATTCACGAATTTCTAATTTGATTCTAAAAATACGTAATTATGCAAAACCTATTCAAATATTCAAATATAATATAATTAAATAATTAACTTCATCAAATAACTGCCACATAAGATGAAAATAATTCCTCTCATGGAACTTCTTTTACATTATTAATATATGTACCATTGTCGGCGGCGGTCAAGCAAATTTTCTTAGATTTTATACATATAATCTGTACAATAATTAATTATCTATTTTTTAAAAAAATCGAACTATATTAATTAATATACAATTGAGATTTTGACTTTCGGTTTTTGAACCGAAACCGAAATTTTACCGAAAGTGTTTAAGTAGCTTGCACAGTTACAGTGGACATCACTAAGCTGAACCGCTTCCAAACATTCAGCTTGATCCTCCCGTTGTCGAGCATGGTTCTATACAAGATCTTAGTGAAAACCCGAGGAAAAACAAGATGAGATTGAGAAGATCGCACGTCGAATCTTTAGATCAGAACTTACTGCTTAGTAAGCTAATCACATATGATGACTGAATATTACTATTTCCTACTGATACAAAGCAATGATTTTGTCGTCATTCAAGTAACTGGCTCGTCATCACAATACTGCACTGATGTCACATGACTTCTTTTATGCCTTAATGCTAATTTTCGAAGAGACTGGTGATAAACTGGTGATAGTGATCATCGAGCGTTCTTGCATTATGGTCTGCACCTAATTTTCTTAGAAACTTGCTTGACATAGTCAGTTCTATGAGGAAATCTATTGATTAGATTTGAGCATCCAGATTCCATTTGCATAAACGATCGTCACGATGATCATCAGAATTTTCCTGGACCCGCTTATGATGATCTAACTTATTTCTGGCCCTGAAAAGTAAACAAATCCATTTAATATTAATTCTTTTTTTGTATATAGTATATAGTAAATAGTAATACAACAAATGTTTTTCTCTTTTTAACAAATAAATAATCAACCTTTTCACATGCCAAAAAAAATTTGAATTCAAAATATATAAATAAATCATCCATCAATGAGATACTTTTTTTAAAAAATTCTTCATTTTTTCCCTTTTTTTCTTTTACATTATCTATTGTTTTCATGTCTATTATAATCATTCGTTACTCTATTTCTCATTAATTATTACGATCATAAAGGTTAGTCGAATAATTTATATTTAATTATAAATAAATAATAATATTCCCAACAATAAGAAACTAATTATATTTATAAATAAATTGTTAGATTATTAACAAAGCAATAATAATATAACACCGCCATCACCTACTCGATTATTTTATTTTTAACGTGTGCCTTTTTTTCTAACGAAGATACCAATATAAAATTTAATTTTTTAAAACCTTTCATTATAAATGGGGCTTCTTTCATATATTGGTAGTTTTTTTGATATAACTCCAAATAAAGGATTTTCAGATCGTTATGTACTTATTACTGGATGTGATTCTATTGTTGGTAATTGGCTCGCAAAAGCTTTACATAAAAGGGGCTATTATGTATTTGTTGGTAAATATATTCTTTCCATTTTTTTTTCTTTTCAAAAAAAAAAATAAAAAAAAAAAAAAAATAAAACTTACAAATTTTATAAATTATATAGGATGTCAGACAGAAGCAGCTTTCAAAGAATTTATTGCTAATATTTCTGCACCAAATTTCCGACCTTTTTTACTTGATATAACGAAAGATACATCTCTTCAACAATGTGCTAGAATGGTGGAACATGAAACAAAGGGTAAAGGTTTATTTGCATTAGTTAATAATGCAAGCTGTAATGAGGGCTTTGCTTTTGAGTTCACTTCTAATGATCAAATCTTAAGAACAATGGAAATGAATTTTATGGGACCGATTAAAATAGTTAAAACTTTATTACCATATCTAAGGCAAAATATTAAATATAATCTAAGAAAACCACAAAAGGAACAAGATATTTCACCACGCATTATTATGATGACTTCAATATTGGGTAGAACTACTATACCATTTTATGGAGCTTATAGTGCGTCTAAACATGCTTTAGAAGCTATGCTTGATACTATCAGAGTTGAATTATTACCATGGAAAATTCATATTTCGATGATTGAATCTGTTCCTTTGACGACATCGAGTAGATCATCAAATTCTGATCTTATGGATATCTCTAAAAACTTCTTTTCTTCTCCCGAGCTCACTAAACAAACACTTACTCTTTATGGTGAAGACTACATTCAAAAAGCTCTTGAATTTTGGCAAAAACTTCCTTCCACTCACAACGATGCCAATAAAGATATTGTAAGAACTATTGTCGATGCTATTGAAGTTGGATTTCCTAATGATCGTTATGTCGTTGGAACTGTTGCCAAATTGCAAATTTTCATGCATAATTTTCTACCCAGATGGGTACTTGATTTGGCTTGGGGTAGTTTTATTAGATTGTTTGGTGTTTGGCCAAAGGAAGTAAGGGAATTGGAAGAGGGTCCATCTGCCGATCATTTATCTCATACCTCAATGACAAATTAAAATAAATGATTTTTTTCTTTTAATGATAATAACAATAATAATATTCCAAATAATGATGGATTGTTTGTCATGTTTTCGTCGAAATTCTTTCATTTTTATTTTACAAACTTTAATTTTTGATTCTTATACTATTTTATTATTTTTTTTAAAAAAAACTTTTATAACTCTCCTTACCTTCCCATAGAAAATTTTTTTTTAAAATAATTAATAAAATAAAATAAAATTGTATATACACCAGAGCTGGCAAAGCGTAAAGGGGTTAAATCCCAATTTAGTAATAATTTTTTTGACTAAAACTTGACTTAACATATGAGTTTAGCCAGTTTGGCCAAGTGCTCATTTGAGTTAACCAAATTAAAAAACTTTTTGTTTATTAAATTACCTGTTAATAAACTGGGCAAAGAAATAAGTTATTGTTATCTCCGTTCAAGTATTCAATATTAGATACTTGACTATTTTCTACACTACTGGCCGAAAACTAGTATATGCATCGGATCGGCGTCATTCAGCTACCAAAAGACTATCCTTTTTTGACCTACAATCAAAACCTTGTCACAGCGGATAAACGGGACACATAAAATCCTGTTATGACAAGAATTTAATAATAGTCCACTGTGACAAGATTGTAAATGATGATAGTAATAGAACGTATTTATCGATGAAGAAAAACAATCAAATAATATTAATATGATTTAACGACATCAATTACCTGAAAACAACCAATTGAAATCTTTGGAAATAGTACAGATTTTCTTTAAATTTTTCTAGTAAATATTTGATAGGTTTCTTAAATAAAAAATTAAAATTTACCTTCCGGAAAGATTATTTGATCGCAGAGTTTTCTGCGCTACGATGCCAATTTTTCGTGGTTGGCAGAATTTTACACAAAATTTATTTATTTTATGATCTTAACGATTAAAGAAATTGTTACGCAACTATTAAAAAATTGTTACGCAAGCAATTTTCCCATTCTGATTTCCTTAAATGGGTAATGATAATTTTTCTTATTATTATTATATAAATATATAAAATTAGAGTTTTCTTTACCCGTTTAAGGACCTACCACTTCAATTAGAATTATCCGAGGGCCTAGATTAACATTGCGAGCTTGTGCAACTTTGAGGCTTAATTCTTTGTAGCGTAAGAAATCTAATGTCTTATATTATTGATTACATAGAATTTTCAAAATTATGCAAGAACATATGATGCAAATCATCTAAAAACATCACGTGCTGCGCCACTTGCCGATTTTTATGTCGATCTTGTTTTATAAACTCAATATGTATAAAATTTGTAAGAGATCTGCGACTTTGCTACGTGAATGAATAATCGGTAAATCAGTAAATTGCAGTTTAGATATTAATATATAAATAATTGCCGAAATTTCAAATAACATATATTTGGCTTGGTCTAAAGGCATCCCAAACTTTGTGCAAATTTTAAAAGTATAGAAGTCATTTTCTGTCCTACATTTTAAAAAAAATAGCTCTATTAGTTGATAGAATAGGTCTTTAATTTTAATGTGATAGAGAGATTTTCTCAAAAAAATTATTTATTGTAGAGTTCTATTCTTTTTTAAAACATGTACTTTACTATGCTCATGAGGAATTTGAGCACTAGGATCATTGCTAAACTTAGACTAATTTTCGATCATCGTTACTAAATTTAGACCAATAATCAACAATCATATCTAAATTTGGCAAGCAGTAAAATAATTTTTTAATCAAAATCACGTGAAGACCTTTTTTGAAAAGTTTTATTGCATTTTTGAACAAATCACAAAATTGCAATTTTTGAAAGTTGAGCACATGGTGCAGCAATAGGAGGAGGTCTTTAGACCGAGTCAATCATAGTAAAATTACCATTATAACTTTTTTTTTACTAAATAACTCAAAAACATTCTATTACATTATTTTTCATGTCTGCCCATATTTAGTAAAGTATCAGCATTTAAAGATTGGCAACATTTTGTGATGTATTTAGATGATTGGCACTATACTTATGGTTGCTTGCCAAAACTCCTCCAGAAATCAAATAGAAGAGTTTCAAAATGTTACACATTAATTGTTTATTAGAGTATTGGCAGTCATTAAGAGGTTTTGGCAAACAACCTTAACAATACTAATACTGTTTTTCAAACCACTACTCCTCTTCTGTTTTCATAGATATGGGCACCAAATTTTCATGAAAGATAGTATTACACATTATAATTTAGAGCTATGGAAAGCTTTTAATGGCTGTAGAAACACCAATGGCATAAAAAAAATTCATTTAAAACACAACAAATTTGTTTCTTTATTGTGGAATCTCTAATGACTGTAGAAACCCAATGGTATAAAAACCTCATTGAAATACAACAAGATTTTTCTTTATTGTAATACTGCAACTTCTGAAAAAATATAAAAAATATGTGAAATAAGCATACTCTCTCCATTGCACTGTTTGACAATGCCTCCCCACTAAAAATCTCAGATATTTTCATAGAATTTTTTTATCAACCAAGAGCTACTACCATCACATTTAATTTGATCTGCACAGGAATCATGAAATACTTTCATAATAACCACAAATTACTAAATAAAATAAAATCAAGCGTTATTTTTATTTTATCTACTAGCATTGTCAAATAATTTCCTAATTCCATCAAAGATATACTATTAAGATCTTTTTCTATAATTTCATCTTCATCAGTAACATCATTAATTTGTTCATCAAATAAATGGACTTTGCATCAAGATAATCACCTGTTGATCTAAATGTGGTACATGTATATTTTTGGCTCAGTCATAACTATAATAAACAGTACATCAATACTGTATTCATCCTTTGAATAATTTTGAATAATTGGTTTTCTCTGCTCTTCAGCTCCTGTCAATAATTTTTTTGACAAGGGGTGTATTATGGTCCCAGCAATAGAAGGTCCTTTTATTTCATGGGTTTCTTGTCTTTTCACTTGTTGATTTAGATGATTCAGCCTCATGTTCTTCATCTGATAAAGATTTATTAACATAAATCTAAATCTTTTTTCCATTGTTTTTTTTTTTTGCAAAACATAAGAGAAATAAAAGATTGTAATTATGATTCTGAATATATACATGGAATCAAAATTAAAACCCCCAAGTCAAAATATTCCAACCTGAGAGAGAGGTCAAAAGTTGAAATTAAAAGTCAAGATTACATCATATGACAGACTGAATAAAACATACTGAAAAGTTAATCAATAGCTTTAAATTTCTATAACTCAGTCAATATCTAAGTATTAGATAAAATAACTACCATTCAAATTCTCTCAATGAGGTGAGTCTAATGAGTTATAATAACATGACATTTATTGGCGCAATTACTATGAACATTAAAATACTATTATTTGAATCCTCTTTTTGAGACTATTCTAAGAAATTATAAGTGATATGACATAATTTCAACCTTTTGGAAGTCAAAATCAATTTTGATCATTTCAACTTCATATATGGTTTTGTTATTTTTTTTATAAAATAGCTTAAATATCAAAATGTGGACATTAAACAAATGATTGATATATTTGTTATTATTAGTACTAAACAATAATAAGAAATGTTAAAGATAAAAATTATTGAAGATAAAAACACAAAAATGATTCAATATGTAGCCTTTGATTATTGGAAATTTACGGATATTGATTACTATAGTGCAGGACATCTATAACGGTCAATGATTATCACATGATTTTAAAAGCTTATAACTCCTTATTAAAAAAATTAAAAAAAAAAATAAACCGATAAAATTAAAGCTAAAGACCTAAGCTTCATTTCCATCGGTTTACTTTTTCATTTTATTAGAAAAGTTTTGAGTTATAAGGCTTGAAAGTTAGAACATTTTATATATGTCTATATGTAAATTGTAAAATTTCGGAATGATATTCCCTTGTGGTTTCCTAAAAGGTTGATGATCGGCTTAAAAATTTTCCGTGATACAGACAATCTTTCCAATAAAAGGAATATGATTACTTAAATTAGAAAGATCTTCTAAAATTTTAAGTTTCGGACTATTGACCATTATAGATGTCCTGCACTGTATTATGGTACATGTCATCTAGTCGAATTGTTTTCTTTATGTCGTACAACATAATCACATTTATCACAAGTGATCGTCAAATTGTGATATAAAACGAATTTCTATCATGATCATTGGTATAGGAATTGATATGATCCATATACCACGTATTTATAGATTAATCAATAAAAATAGACCATTAAGATTGGAACAACAAAATCAACATCAATCACCAATAATAACTTTTGAAGAAAGATTTTCAAAAAGAATATTGAATGATTATGAATTGACACAATTAAATAACGAATTATCATCATTACCATTTGATTTTTTTAACGGTAACAAAGAATTGTTTTATAACCATGTTTCTAAATTTTTGGCTGTTAGGTAAATTGTTTGTTGAATCTTTATGAAATAATTTCGAGAATTAATATTGATTGATCGATTGATTGATTGATTAGTTAATTAATTAAAAGATGGGCATTAAAAGAAGCAACTTATAAAGCAATTTACCCAATGTACAAATTAACATGGAAAGAAATTACTATCAAGAAAATTGAAGGTTTTATCATTTAATTAATTTTAATTAATAATTCAATTAATTTTAATTAATAATTCAATTAATTAATTTAATGACAAAAATTAATTAATTAACACAAACTAATTTCAACAGGTGCTAAACCAAGTGTTTACTTAAATGTCAATAACAACAACAACAACAATAATAACAATGACATTATTGATTTTATTAAGACAATAAAGATTCATTGTTCAGTTTCTCATGAAAAAAATATTGTTATTTCTCAAGTAATTATTGAAAAGTGAAAAAATCAGCCAATATCTTTATGGGATCACTCACAAGTCCATTGTTTGGTACATGTTAATTCATTTCATAGCTTGGATTCTCTCACATCTTCACTCTTTTATACTTGGTTGTTCATTAATTTATTCAAATGCACCAAAACAATTCTTTTAAAATATGATTTTGTTTTTTCAATTATATCTTTCAATTCTTGTAACATTTCCATGATATCGTTAGAATGTTTAGTAACAATAATCATCATTAGTTGTCCTAATTTTTGATTTTCTGGTTTTTGTTCAATATTAAAATCCAAGTATTTTAAAAATCTTGACAATATCTCTTCTGGTTCATTCAATAATTGGAATTTTTGACTAAAAATAGAAATGTAAATGTCAATCATGGCATCATCCCAATCCTCAAAACGTTTAGAAACACCTTCATCTTCGCCTTCGTATTGTTGTTGCTCTAAATGATTAGGCACAAGATCTCTAAATGATTAATCAGTTAATTAATTAATTAATAAAAATATGTATGTGCTTAAAAATAATGATATTGTTGTTGTTGTTTTACTTTAATAAATCAATAATAGAAGATTCATTCATTCCTCCTTGTGTAATTGTACTAGTAATAATTTGCAATTGTAGTTGACCTTTTTCATATGTGTATGTATAAACATAATATAAGTGTGAGAGTATATATATCGTTAAAATTTTTTTTTCAAAAATCAAATAAGATACCTATTTCAGGAGGTTGTTTGATTAACGGTAAAAGTAATCCATATACCAATGGTTTACTCTTGATATGAGCAATTTTCAAAATTGTAGAGGTTGGAATCGTCCAAAAAATCCTTAGTCGACTACTAGTTGGTCAAAATTTCTTTTAGTCAACTAAATTTTTT